TTGTAATTCTTTTTAAATTGATACCTAAGATCTTCCTTTCTGATGATGAAACAAAGAGTGCAGGAACAGATGGGATGCTGAGGATGACATTACACTGTCAAAAATAAATACACAAATTTATTGAAACTTTCGTTTTTTTTTTTTTGGCCAAACCGTTTTCTGGTATATGCTTCTAGCGAACTTTTCGTCAAAGTGATGAAATATCCTCTGTTACGTCTCTAAAGAAACGATTTACGACAAAAGTAACGAAATATTTCATCCTCTTATTACCTCCTAAAAGGATAATATTAACGGTTGTGCCTAATATATCTGACCTACTAATAATAATAATTTTATCGAGAGCTCCATATAGCTGGGTCAATGTCACCTTAAAATCACAGGGAAGACAAATATAACCGAGAGAAATGTTATACCCATGCATGAAGTGAGATTTAAACCCCGGATCTTCCTGGTACGTGCTCAACTCCATGTCCACCAAACATCTCGGTCGGTTTATTTCGCGACTTTATTTTCAATCGCTTAAATTTCATCCTGGATTTGTCATTCTGATCTCCCACAATGCACCACGATGAGACCTCGTTTTGAGGAAACATTTTCGTCATATATTTCAGAGTTCCAGTTCATTTACAAATCTCGTGATTTCGTTGCGGAATAATTCTCAAATTTGGTGAAATATAGATGAATCAGTCAAAAATTAGAGTTTCACTTCTGAGAATTTAGGTAGTAGATATTTACAAATATTCCAGGCTTCAAAATACTTAACAAGAAAATTCAGGAAAAAAAGTTCACTTTTTAGATTCGCTATAATTTAAATATTGTTGTTTTTGTATAATATTCATTGCATATATTTCGGAAAAAAACATTAATATCGTTCATTACACCAATAAGATGTTTGTAATGTGTAAAAGGAAGATACAATCTTAGGTTTGTAAAATTAAGAATAATCAAGATTTAATGTTTGTTTTTTTAAAAAAAAAACGTAAAACTTAAAGAGTGTCTCAAATTGTACGAGGCTAAATTTCACTGTGCAAATTAAATAGGACTTCTTATGAAATTAATAATTTTTAAAAAATAAATAGTCTTTAGAATCGAAGTTCCAACTGAAATAAAACAAAATAATCCTACTTCAAAATTTTTTTAAAGGAATACTTTAATTTTCTCTAGTTTCACTTCACTAAAAATTTTCCCTTTAATTATCTAGTTATTTTTTAATAAAAATAAAGATTGTTGTTCTCATTGCAAAAACCTAATATACATTAAAATCTGTCGAATAAAAAAATATTTCGAATCTTTTACATTCATATAATATCTTTATTATTATTATTTAACTTAAATTATTATTATTATTTTTGTTTTTCTTCAAAAAACAGGTTTTACAGTCATTAAAATAAGTTAAGTTTATTTAATGCTTTTAAAAAAATTTGCTGCATTCCTATTAGATTATAAAATTAACCATTTTTGAATCAAAAATTTGAAATTTTCCAGAGAAATATTTAAATATTTTTTCATGTAAATACACATCAAAAAATAAAAAAAAAATATATATAACACATTCTTAAATATCAAGAAATGCAATTTAAAAAGTACTATTAGCTGGGATAAAGTATCGATCTCACAGTCAGGACTCAGATGTCTTAATCATTCGGCCATACATGCGTTTACCCAAGTCGAAATTCGGGATGGTCCCATTAAATTATTTTGATGGTTTAGGATGATTTCAGTTCGATTCTTGATGTTCCAGCAATATATGACTGTCATCACGAACAATTTTCAACAAATGTTCATGGCAAAGCAAGCTACAATCATTGCATGATGGAAATGCTGTCTTAATACTATGATAGTTAGCCATTAGGAGATGTTTGATTTTCATGAGTCCACAAAATCCCCACACCTTATGAGGGAAGCTTTTTCCCTGGTATGATGTTCTCCCATTAGATTATGATTGGTACTGTAGGACCAATAACATCAATCATTTCATGTTGAAAGATAATGTTTTACTGATTTGATGGTCAGCTAATAACGTATGGATGGAAATTTTGATCAATCAATGTCCATCACTTAATATTGGTCATTGTCCCCGAAATGAATTTCGAAGAAACAATGTTGAAATTCTCGTTGGTAAAGCAGAAACAGACTATCAAAACAAATCGCTTTTTTTATGTTGGTCCATCATAAATCAGTGAGAGTTCTCCCATTGCTGTAATGGTTATTCATGATTATTCAAACAATTGACTTCCAATGAATGAAATTTCGGGTGGTTTAACAAGAATAAGCTATCAAAAAAGTTGTTATTCTTATGTTGGATCATTTTAAAATAGACTGAATTCGGGGGAAGGAGGGCTAGTTACCGTTACAAATACAATATCTTGTAATGGAACCATTTGATGGAAATTAAATTTTAGCAATTTCAATTAAAAAAAATTAGCTAAAAGTTTAAGGGGTGATATTATAAACCTGCAGCACACAGTAGCAAATTCGCGTTACTCATACCTCAAAAATGTTTTAAAATATTCGAAAGCTCTTTGCATACACTTATAGGTTTAGTTTAAACAAAGATAGCCAATGGAAACAATAATTTTAATAGTTTTTCAAATACTTTTTTATTATTTCATTTAATATGGGTGGGAAAACAATAAATTATAAGTCATAACAATTTCTAAGCTATTTTCAATGACAAAAAGACAAAATTAGTGAGAAATTGGAGGAATAGCTCCTAAGTCGTTAAATTTTTAAGAAGCCATAAGTTTTAAATTTATTTCTGAGAAACTATTTTACCGATTTCTCTCAAATTTTTCATTCGCGTCAATTTAAATTAAGTAATTTAAAAGAATGTATGAATTTAAATATAGAGGTTAAAATTTATTCGACACTTAGTAAACAAAGTAATAAAAATCCATTAAAAATTATTTTAATCTTAAGAGAAATTAAACTTATACTTGTGTACAAAAATTTTAAAAAGGATTTACAGTCAAAAAGATTCCCGTGTTATGACATACTGGACAAGAAGCAAAATTAACCCAAACTTTCGATCAATCTAATGACTAAAAAGAGGGTCAAGTTTCTCCTGTATACTTTACATTAGAAAAAAAAAGTATAATCAATACTCACTACGGCAATCAATAAGTAAAATATTTAAGTCATTATGTATTATCATAAGTGTTATTCGTGGGTAGGACAAAATAATGAAAATACTTCTATACTGATTAGTTTTTTTTAACATATTTCTCAGGAAATACTAAGAGAAAAATTTTAAAATACAGAGAAATTTTGAAATTTTTAGATGGGTTTACATCATGCGATTTTCCATACATATCTATAAAGTTTAAAGCTTTTAAAAGTTTCAGGAACCGGTAATAAATTAGGAACAAAAAAAATTTTTCTGAATAGCCAATGTCTGAAAATATAGCGATAATAATCTTACAACTTAAATCAATTACTTTGGTTATTATATGCAATAACTGCGCAAAATTTTGTGAGATTAGCTTAAATACCCATGGAGAAAGGAACACTTTTTTAAAACTAATGATTTAGCCTAGCGTTGTCTAAGTATAACAACAGAAATATTCAATAAAATTGAAAAATCATTTTTCGAAATTTTTTTAATTCATAAAAAATATTATTTTAAAATATGAAAAAGATTCGTTAGAGATCGCTTAACAACGAGTTTCTATTCCAGAAAATAAGCCTGTTTGTCATTTTTTCAGTTGTAATAATAAACAATAGCAAAAATAAATAAATAAATAAAAATCTCAAGAGAGTGTTTGAAACCCCGACGATAAAACGCATAGATATCGCATTTCGAAATGAGCTACTCTTACATACGGTATTTATTTTGATGTTATTTCTCTAAAAACATGCAAAAAGTTTAAAAAATACAAGACTCTATATTTAATGGTTTATTAAAGGAAAAAAAATGTTTTAACGGTAAAAAACATATAATTTAACTTAAATGTTAAGGTGTATAGTTTAAGGCTTTAAAAAATATAAAAAAAGAAAGAACCTATTTGTGAAATCTACAATGCGGTGAAAGTTTTTGTATCGGTACAAAAACAGATTGCAAAATATCGAATACTTTTAATTTTTAATTATCTTATACATATCTAGCTTTAGAAACAAAAAGAATTAACCCACATTTAGTTAAATAGATTTAAATGAGTAAGAAATCCATAATAAGACGTTATACACGGTTCTGAAGCATCTTAGTTACCATTTGATCACATATTTCATCTAATCTTACCATTAAATAAACATGCACATTATCTTCCTATCAATATTATTCACAATACTATCGTCAAAAAGAGTGGGGGATTACCACAAAAATTTTATTTAATGGCATATTCTTTCAAACCATTTCAAGTACTTTCTTATAGGGATATATAAATTATTAGGTGTTTAGATAAGAACAAACATCGTACCTAGATTCAAAATTTATGCTTGTTTAGAAACTGAAATTTTTTGTGCAATTAAGAAAGGGAATTCATGAATAACAAAATATTAGCACAACATGAAGCGCAAAAATGGATCTTACCTCTCATTCAAATAGCTTTGTTTGCTTGTTTTTTATTTAAATGTATAAAATTCTTGTATAAGCCTGCACTTATTATTTTTTATGAGGAACAATCCATTCATCAAAGCTCTGAAACTAAAATAAAAACTCAAAACTCTGTTTTGCATTCGACGCTTTCCTGTTCCATCTTTTTCTTACATATCAAGGACTTTAACAGTTCAAATTTTTACCTGGCAACTTTCATGGACTAACTTGTGGGCAAATAATTTCAGAATTTAATATATTATTGGGAATTAATAATGATTTTTATCAAGACTGAAAATATACAAACAAATTATTATATAATAATTGCTTAAAAATAATAAGCTATAGTTAAATAAACTCTTTTTCATGAAGATTAGCCTTGTAATTCAGATTTTTTTTTCTCTGTTAGCTTTCAAGAGCAGACTTGATTCAATAAATCAAAGCTAATTTCAAACTTGACAATCAACACAAAGCTTTTTATACAACCGTAAAATATTCACACAAGTTCCAGAAGAATATTTTCATGTAGAATTCATTCATCTTATGAAGAACTGTGAAATTTTCTTACCAATGCAGCATTTCTATACTCTGCAAGTCTTCAAGAACTAACTTAACTCAAAGCACTTGATCTGAAATTGAACCTCAAAGGATTGTGTAAAATATGAAGGCATTCTTTCCTTCTAAACTTAGAATTACAGTTCTACCAGATACCAAATCTACAGACGTTAAAAGAATCAACAACACAAACATTATCTCGGGTGCTGATGGTGAATTTATAAAACTATTGTCACGAGCGCTAAATTTCGAATATGAAATTCTTGTTCCCTCAGATTATTCGTACGGTTCCAAGGATGCATTCGGAAACTGGACAGGAATGATGGGAATGGTTGGAAGGAATGAAACTGACATGGCATTCAGCTATATAACTGTTACCGAAGAGAGGTCGACTGTTGCAGATTTCAGCGTGCCTTACTTCAATCTTGATAAAACGTTTCTAATGAATCACGCTTCTCTCTTGCCGAAAACAGCGGCATTCACGTATCCTTTCAGCATTCTCACATGGATTTTATTTTTTGTCGTACTGCTCTTTGTGACAGTGCTATTTAGAGCTTTGATTTCGCCAAAAGAGTCAATAATTTCGGTTTTCATCAACTTGTGGGGATCTTCTTTCGGGCAAGGAATAAGCTACAACCCTCGTTCAATGTCCAGGCGGATACCACTTGGAATTTGGATCCTTTATTCATATTTTCTGATTTTGGGTTACAGCTCAGTTCTGTTATCGTTTTTGACTTCACCAATCAAAATGAAACAAATAAAAGATTTCAAAGATCTCTATGCCGAAGTCAGAAAAGGAAAAATGGAGTGTCTAGCAGCGGGACCCACCCTTGAAGCAGATTATTTGTCGCAAAGCATTGTACCTCATTTCAAAGGATTGGGGGAATACATTAAAGAAAATAAATGGTATTACTTTCGTAATATCACGCGTGTTCCTGAAAACGTAGCAATACTTGGGACAACCGTTCTATTTCGATTACTTTTGGGACCCCCGGAAATGTACTTTTATTCGAAAGATGTTTTTGGAAGTTTTCCTTCAGGTTTTGCAATCAGGAAAGATTTTTGCTGCAAAAAGCGCTTCAATGAAATCCTGCTTCGAATTTTGAGTGGTGGTATATATGAAAAAATAGCGGACCGTAACCTTTTTAAATTCGAATTAAAGAGAAATTTGAACCGTAACTATTCTCAGAGTGCATTAGCCCTACCTTTAGGGTTATCAGATTTAAATGGAGTGTTTATTACTCTTGGGATAGGCTGGGCAGTAGCTATTTTTACTTTGATGATCGAAATCATCTACAGCCGATGTTTACGCTCGCAACCTCGCCAAACCTGAGCGTCTAGTGTATTGATAACGCAGAACTAATGTAATGTACAGATAATCAAATAAATCATATTTCATTATTTAGCAGCTTATTATGTAATGTTCTACTTATTTATGGCTATTTCTTGGAGCTTTGAATGACATTTTGTTCAAGAATTTGGGCAGTTTCCTAATTTGTACATCGTTCATCCGCAGTCTTAAAACGGTGCGTAGTACAATTTAGGCTGACCATTTTAAATTATTTTAAGATCATTTAAACTGTACTAGAAATGGCTGTGAAATATTTGTAAGGTTCCCATTACTAAACTTTATTCCACGTAAGTAAGGCTCATAACGTATATAACGATTGAGACTACAATTCAACAATTGAGTGCTACAACAATTGAGAACTCAGCTTAAAAGTATTTAACTGTTCTGGTGAGTCTGAAATTTGATTAAACTGACTTTTTGATAGCAAAAAAGGTAATCTATATCTGAATTTATCAGAACGAAGCGGAATTATTTAATTTTATTTAAACCCTCATGATGAAATTCATTTTTTTTACTCCCAGAAAGAAAACAATGTGATGAAAAACTAAGTGAAAAGCCTTCTAATTTTTCAATTTATGATCTAATAATTATTGATTAGTAATATAACCACCTGCCTCAGTACCTTTTATGACAGATATTTCAATCAAAAGAATTTCTAATAGGTAAGAAGAAGAAATTTGTTTATACCCACCAGAAACATATACAGCCTCAGTTCTTTATAAAGTCACGCATGAACTTTACAGTTAGTAACATCATGTTCCATTAAAACTTCAAAAGATGGTAACATTTTAAATTTGCTTTCAATAACTCAAAAAATTTATATCACATTTCGTAAAATGCTTTTAAACAACTGTATTATATTAGCTAACCTACTCTCGTAATCTTAAATTCACAATAGTTTGAGGGATGTGAATATTTGCACGAATTAAGCAACTCGTATTCTAAACTGTACCATCAGCAGAAAAAAAATAATTTTCAGTATTTAGTGCACCTAAACGATAACCAAAAAAATAATATAAGTTTACGTATTTTATTACTGACCTATATCGAATTTAATATAGTAAATGTGAAATATGCAAATTGTTTCGAATGTATTAATTATTTTCGATTGTTAAGAAATTCGTGAAAAGGTGTTTGATTTCCTCAATATTCGCAAGTTATATTTATTATAGAATTATCTTTCAGTTTGATTTTTTAAAACTATTTTTAGAATTATTCTTTAATCAATATTTCAATCTTATTGCATATGAAATAAACTTTATAAATATTTACTTATCCATAATCTAGTACCATGTTATACTGTAATAGGGAAATATCTTTTTTACCAAATTAATTCTGTGTATCAGATAATACTGTCAACAGAATCACTAGTGACGAATTTAAAATCTTATTCTTTAACATAATAACGCGAAACTTCATCTCACTTTCGAATAGGGTTTTTCGTTCATGGAGCTTGAACCCTTCTATAGCTACAGTATTTTCAAATATCTGATACAGTTGTTCAGTTTTTTAACACGGTTAGTTTGAAAAGCTGATGACACAATTAAAATCGAATTTTTTAACTCCTTTTTGTTCATATTCATGTTGAAATAAAGGCGGGAAATTTAGACATAGGTTTTTATATTTACATACACTTCTCCAAATAATAGAAGTAGCGCCTCTAAATGATAAAAGAAACTATTTTCTGAAAGGAATTTAAGAAACAAAGTAAATATAAGATCACATTTCTGTTCACATTTCTATTTTTTATTCTGTGGAATTAATCAGTGTAAGCAATGAACGACTCATTAAATTATGCAATCTGATGAAACAAAACAAAAATTTAAGAAATTTTATTGTTAAATTTAATAGTTTTCTACGAAATGAATTATACCCTATAATTTATTCATTTAAAATACGTTAGAATTGATAGGACAATGATGTAGATATCACGGTTAACAAATTAACACTGTGTATCCCAAAATTGTTATCTTTAGTATCTCTTCTGGTTAGTGGAAAAATCATACTCTTTTCAATAATAACACAAGACCAAGTTATTAGAATAGATATTACAATTTAGAATGATTATTTCATATTTTCATTCAATATTTTTTTTGAAGTTTAAAAGTATATGATTTAAATAAAAATTTATATCTTAAAAAATTTGAAATTTGTACTATATTTTAATTGTTTATTTCATTTTTTTCATGCTATATTTTTCAGCGTTTAAATGATACGGTACCTCATTAAATGTGACAAATTTAAGAAATGGAGTATATGTGTTATATTTTAGATTAATTATTTCACATATAGAATCATAAAAAAGAATTAAACTAAAACAGGTATTAGTAGAAAAACAATACAACGGGAATCAGTAAAATATTTCAGTAGTAGAAGACAATTTTTGAACGTCTGATCTAATTATATAAATTTTAATCGTTTTTTGATGCGTTTTGTTTAGTTTTAAAACTAGAGCTCAAGATAAGAATATTTGTTTTGCTAAAAGATTTTATTTTTTTAGACTGTTATATTGCTTTGTATTTACTTCATGTAAATTTAAATTATAGCATTATTTTAAGTTCTGATTCTATATTAAATATTTTAGTTTGAGAAATTTAGTTATACTTGAATGCTTTGCTAATGTTTATTGTAGCAGTCTAGAATTAATTAAATTTTAAGTTTTGAATTTAAATATTGTACATAACTCTTAAATTAAAAATTATATCGAATTTAATCTGATAATTTAGAAATTTAGTTTTGAAAGAGAAAATTAATCAACATAAACAGTGGTTTAACTTAAAATTTTGGAAAAGAAAAGTTTTGGAACGGTATTACAATACCAAAAAAAAACTTAAAAAGATGGACAATTTTGGATCGTCATGGCGTCTTAAATTTGTATTAAGAATTTTTAAGGTGCATACTAAATGCTACGGGAATCAAAAATCACAAAAGTTTATTTTATGCTATATTGATGTTTTAATGCAATAGCCCTGCTACAAGAATTGCTAATGTTATAAACCTTTTGGATATTTTATTATAATAATCAGCTGCCACAATTATAAATGACCATTTTTAGCCACAAAGCCATTTTTAAGTTTTATTGGTGTTTTAATGTATTAGCACGCTACGGAAATTGCTAACGATATGAGACATTCTGATGTTTTAATGTATTTACCTGTTACGATAATTATAAATTATAAAAGCCTCTTTGATATTGTATTGATGTTTTAATACACTAGATGTTAATGTTATAAATTTTTCATATGTTTCATTGATGTACTACACTGCTTCAAGAGTTGCTAATGTTATAAGCCTCTCAGATGATTTGTTGATGTTTTAATCTAATAATCGGCTGCACTAATTATAAATTATATAAGCCATTTTTTATGTTTCATTCGTGTTTTAATGTACTAGCATGCTACAGAAATTGCAAAAGATATGAGTCTTTCTGATGTTTCATGTATTTACTCGATACGGTAATTGTGAACTATATTAACCTCTTTGATATTATTGATGTTTTAATGTACTACACCGCTACAAGAATTCATAATGTTATAAGCCTCTATAATGTTTTGTTGATGTTTTAATCTAATAATTGGCTGCACTAATTATAAATGATATAAGCCATTTTTAAGTTTCATTCGAGTTTTAATGTACTAGCAGGCTACAGAAATTGCTAAAGATATGAGTCTTTCTGATGTTTTATGTATTTACTCGATACGGTAATTGTGAACTATATTAACCTATTTGATATTATTGTATTGATGCTTTAATGTACTACACCGCTACAAGAATTCATAATGTTATAAGCCTCTATAATGTTTTGTTGATGTTTTAATCTAATAATCGGCTGCACTAACTATAAATGATGTAAGCAATTTTAAAGTTTCATTCGTGTTTTAATGTACTAGCATGCTACAGAAAATGCTAAAGCAATGAGTCTTTCTGAAGTTTTATGTAGTTACTTACTATCAATACGGTAATTGAGAACTATATTAACCTCTTTGATATTATTGTATTGATGCTTTAATGTACTACACCGCTACAAGAATTCATTATGTTATGAGCCTCTATAATGTTTTGTTGATGTTTTGATCTAATAATCGGCTGCACTAATCATAAATGATATAAGCCATTTTTAAGTTTCATTCGTGTTTTAATTTACTAGCATGCTACAGAAATTGCTAAAGATTTGAGTCATTGAGATATTTTCAAGATGTGTACTAACTGGTGCGGGAATCAGAAATGACGCAAGCGTCTTTCATGCTGTTTTGATGATTTAATGTACGAACACGCTACACGGAATGCTAATGTGCTAATTGCTAAATGAACTCTTACTTACACCTGAACATATATAGATATCTATATATTTTTTTAAATAAAACCCAGTGAGGAAAAATTCTCACAAATCAGTTAATATGTTCGCCAGGGAAAATAAAAGGTTATTCAATTGTGATGAAACATTTCTATGGAAATAAGACTTTAATGATTGATGACGCTTAAACTTGTCATTTACTTTGAGAATTCAGAGATAAAAGTAAGCTCTTTTAAAACACTTTGATTAAATAATAATTTCTTGGATATTACTATATTTTAATAATGATCCCTGGCAACATGTGTCAGCAATCAACTGAAGATGGCAGCAACAAACATGCTTCGGCAAGGTCAAGATCATGACTACTTCTTAAAAACTTCAAAGTTTTATTGTTCTCCAGTTCTATGAAAATAAAAAAACCTTTGAAACTAACTGCTGTTGAGAGAAAAAAAACGTTCTCCAGTTTTTTTGCAAAGCAAATACGTACAATAATATTTTTGACATAATATTAAAAGATGTGTATTACATAAACTCCTGCTTGTGAAAATTGCAACACCATGAAGGAAATGTCGTAATTGAATGAAATTTAATGCACAGTTGAGTGGTAATAGTACAAATAAATGATTAAATTTTCAAAGCAAACAAACAATAACAAGAGATCGAAATCAGTATTTTGTGTAGCCACCAC